GGCTAAGTGGGTAATACACTTGCTGTGCAATCAGTGAGGCTTGAGTTCAAATCCCCAGGACCCACATAAAAACTAGATGGAGAAGCTGGAAAGATGGCCAAGCAGTCAAGAGAGCTGACTGCTCTTTTCCGACCCGGGTTCACTTCCCAGCACCCACTTGTCAGCTCACAACTGTAACTCCAGTCTCAGGAGACTGGATGCCTTCTTCTGGCTATGTGGACATTTCCCACTTTGGTCCACAGTCACACATGCAGACAAAAACATATACATTAATAACAGCAATGCCGAGTGGTGGTGCACGCCTTTAATCCCAGCACTCAGGAGGCAGAAGCAGACACAGTTCGAGGTTCCCTTGGTCTACACAGTAGCTTCCATTGCAGGTCTTTCCTGCTAACCCAGACCAGTTTTCTAAGTTCCAATTCTAGAAGCCTGTTTTCCTTCTGCTTTTTATCTAAAAAAAAAAAAAAAGTACTTCTGCAGACACCCCTGACTTTGCCATCTCCCCCTTATCTCTCTCCTCCCAGCAGCTCCCATGATTCACAGCTTGCTAGCCAGCTCTGTAGTTTTTTCTTTCAAACCTAAGGAAAAGGCCCTCCAGGGTTAAAACGCAAGTCTCTGGAGTGGGAGAGCCTGGCTCCCACCTTCATTTGCACGCAAAGTCTTGGTGCTCCCTCTGCTAGCAACACGCTAAGTACCAACTTTTAGGCCTTGTTTTTTGTTCTAGAGTAACAGTTCTCAAACAACAGCAAGTAAAAATGTGAAGACAGCTTGTATAGCCTATGGTTGGTGTGTGTGTGTGTGTGTGTGTGTGTGTGTGTGTGTGTGTGTGTGTGTGTGTGTGTGTTCATTCAGCATGAAGATTGAACCCAGGGCCGCCTCGTGCTAGCTGGCTAGCTGGCTGAGAGTCTACAAAGGGAAAGTTGATTTGTTGAGACAAAAATCTCTCAGTACCAACCCTGGCTACAATTCTCAAGGGTTGAGGTTACAGATCTGAGCCACCACATCCTGCTTCAAGAAAAGTTCCAGCCAAGCGGTGGTAGCCAGCAGCACTCAGGAGGCAGAGGCAGGCAGATCTCTGTGAGTTCCGAGGCAGCCTGGTCAAAGAGTGAGTTCCAGGACAGTTACACAGTGAAATCCTGTCTTGAAGAAAAAGAAAAAGAAAAGCAGGAAGAAAGAAAAAAGTTCTGAAACACAGATTCCAGGCCCCTAGCATCAGTTAGTCTTAATAGTCAGGTGAACAGCAGTGAACCTCTCTCTGTAACACAGAAGCTGCTGCTGCTGCTGCTGCTGGTGTAACAGAGCCTCTTCTGGCCAGGAGGAGGTGGCGCCTGCCTTTAATCCCAGCAGAGGCAGGCGGACCTCCGTGAGTTCAAGGCCAGCCTGTCTACAGAGTGAATTCCAGGACAGGCTCCAAAGCTACACAGAGAAACCCTGTACTGTGTGTGTTGTTAAGCAATGCTGGGGATGGAACCCTGGCCCTTATACATGCAAGGCAAATACGTACTCTAGCAACTGACCTACACCCCCCAGGTTCCCCGATGGGCTTTTCTGAGGTTTTAAAAACCAAGTGTTGGGATCTGTAATTTTCTCTCAAATGGTTGACTTGCTGGAATTCCCTTCCCAAGAGGTTTCCCGGTGTTTCTCTTCTCAAGGCTTTGGGTCTCTCTCCTCTGCCCCACTTGCTTGGACCCAGACTCTGCACGTCCTGCTCATCATACAACATTCGGTACTTAACCACACAATTTTCTTCTGCATCCATTGTCACTCACCTACCACACCCCTCCTCCACCCACACCACCCGCCCTAACCAAGTCAAGCCTTCTAGAACGTCTCCACCTTATTCAAATTGCATTCCTGGGTAGGGAATGTAGCCTGCCTGCCTTCTGATGCCAGCCTCCCCTCCCTCCCTTCCACTTAGGACACAAAGGGGCAGGACCCGGATGCTTCCTGCACAAAACCTTTGCTGTGAGCTTGGGGTAAATGCAAGGACTTGGTGGCCTTGGCCCCATGGATCCAGAGGCAGGGTTCCAGTGTTTCTGCTTTAGAGGACTAACATTCTGTTTCTTTTTTTTTTTTTTTTTTTTTTTGGTTTTTTCGAGACAGGGTTTCTCTGTGGCTTTGGAGGCTGTTCTGGAACTAGCTCTTGTAGAGCAGGCTGGTCTCCAACTCACAGAGATCCGCCTGCCTCTGCTTCCCAAGTGCTGGGATTAAAGGCGTGCACCACCAATGCCCGGCAACAATTTGTTTTTAACTGTAAGTAAGAACCTGCTTTGAACATGAACTATCCAGTTCTCTGGACTCCTCCCAGTCACTCAACAGCTCCCCTCAGGGAGGAAGGTTGGAGAAGACAAAGACTGTTTACCTCGGGACACACCTACTCTTACCTAGTGATGTCTTTGTTTGCATTATAAACAGAAGTCAGTTTTTAGGGGTAGAGTGAGCAGCTGTGGGTGGCATGGGGTCCCAGAGCCCAGTGTTGAGAGGATGCTGGGCTACACAGCTAGCTCCCAACCCCCCAAAGAGTAAGTGGTTATTTAAAAAATTATGTGACTGGGATTTACTGAGAGTTTGTATTACATGGTGAAATTGGGAAAGAAGATGTAACCTTAGATCCCTTGAATTTTGGGTTTAGAAATGAGTGAAAGAAGAGTTACCACAGACTGTCTTGTCCTTACATATGTTAGTGACAGAACCCAGTGTCTTAGGCTTGTTTGTTTGTTTGTTTGGTTGGTTTTTTGGTTTTTCGAGACAGGGTTTCTCTGTATTGTTTTGGAGCCTGTCCTGGAACTCGATCAGTAGACCAGGCTTGGTCTCGAACTCAGAGATCCACCTGCCTCTGCCTCCCGAGTGCTGGGATTAAAGGTGTGCGCCACCAACGCCCGGCAGGCTTGTTTGTTTTGTTCTTGTTTGGTTTCGGTTTTTTAGACAGCACCTCACCATGAAGACCACCGGGGCTTTGAACTTATACAGGGACCCCCTGCCTGTGTAAGCCCTAGGGCTGAATGCTTGAACCCACAGTTGAAGAAGAGAATCAATTCACAAACTCTGTCCTCTGACTTCCTCAGGCATGCTATGGCTCTTCACATCTGCAGTCTCTTTTTCTCTCTCTGTCTCTGTCTCTGTCTCTGTCTCTGTCTCTGTCTCTGTCTCTGTCTCTCTCTCTCTCTCTCTCTCTCTGTCTCTCTCTCTCACACACACACACACAGGAGGGAAGCAGGTGCAATTACAACCAATGTCATCCCCATCTTCCTCCAGTTGGGTGTAGACAGAGGGCAACCAGCCACATTGGTTTTTGTCTAGTGGTGTCCAAATAGATGGCTACTTTGAATTTTATCATGTTGCTCACCAGATTAAGGTTTAAAAAAGCTCTGAACAAAGTCATTCAAACTTAGTGTTTTGTAGCACAAAATTCAGATAGAATCTCTCAGCTAATACCCACTGTGGTAGATGGTCTTAACATAATGGATGCGATGAAAATATAGCATATTCTCATGTATAGCTCCTAAAACACATGGCAGGTCAGTTCCTCTCTATTTACACACACAGAACAGACAACAAGCTAGGCTAGAACTCCACTCCCTCACTTGTATCGGTGACCATGGCGGCGCTACGCAAAACCTCAAGCTTGAGGTGGAATAAGGGAGATCAGGAGTTCAAGACCAGCAAGAGCAATATAGTGAGTGTGCGGCCAGTCTGGGCTTCATGAAACTCTATCTCAAAGAAACAAGCAAAAACCAAATTCAAAATAAAATAAATTCCTTATTTCTGTTGCTTAGGAGGCTGAGGCAGGAGGATTGCAATAAGTCTCAGGCCAGCCTCGGTTTCAGTGAGAATTTGCCTCAAAACAAAACCACCCAAATTAATTTAAAAATTCCTTAAGCAGGCCCGGTGTTGGTGGTGCTCACCTTTTATCCCAGCACTCAGGAGGCAGAGGCAGGTGGATCCCTGTGAGTTCAAGACCAGCTTGGTCTACAAGAGCTAGTTCCAGGACAGCCTCCAAAGCCACAGAGAAACCCTGTCTCAAAAAACAGACAATCCAAAACTCCTCAAGTTAGGCACTGTGACAGACATACTTCCAACCCCAGCAGTTGGGAGGCAGAGGCAAACATATCTCTGTGAGTTTGAGGCCAGCCTGGTCTAAATATTGAGTTCAGGTTACCCAAGGCTGGTAAGACCTTGTCTCAAAAACAAAACCAACTTTGACATGTTAAAGATACAGATCTGCTTACTAAAGGGCCCAAGTATCTGAGCAGGCCACAGGTCTTTTCTTCATATTTTTGCTAAAACAAGGCGTTTTGGGGGTGGAAAGACTTGCCTGTCTTTCCTAAAATGAAAACCAGGGAAGAACCAAGATGGGAACTGAAAGAGTTCTCTGCTTAAACAGAGATTTCCACAACCAGCTCTGAGTGTTTTATTGTGTCCGTTGGGGGAATGGAAGGGGACACGACCCCATTGGAGACATCCAGGGTTTTGTGCAGCCATGGTTTAACGTGAAACATGGTAAAGCCACAAGTAAGAAGCCCAATTTTTTGTGTCTTTCCAGGTTAGGCGCCCCATCCTTCCCTTCCCGCCTCAGTCTGGGTCACTCTGCAGCTTCTTTTGCATTACAATGGCCTTGGTGGGCCTGGCAGGTGGGATTAACAGTGAATTCACAAGGATGGCGGGGCGTGGGTGCTGGGGTGGTGGGCAGGAGAATGGGGGGGGTGGGGGTAGGGGAGTGGAGGGGGAGGAGCGAGCCAGGACACCAGATCTAGCGCCTCGAGCAAGGCCTCAAGGCTGAGCTGGTCTCTGTTACTGGCCAGACTGAGGCTCCCTTCATTCTGTCCTCTTGATAATTTACGTCTGGACATACTCGTTTTTCTCTAAGCTCTTTCCCCCAGACACTGAGTTTGTGATTGAGTTTTAGCTCTTTTGTTCTTGTTAAAAAAATCTTTTTTTAAAAAAAAGTCCCTGATTCTTTTTTGTTTTGCCCAGACTGACTAATGACTGACGAAAAGAGTATGGATCCCCCTGGACCCTACAGTCTTCCTTGTTATGATGAAACAGAAGCACCAGATTTTGGGGACTCGTCTCCAGTGCCTGAAGTTCATGGTCCTGAGGAAAATTATTCTTGCTTACAAGTGTCTGCCGCTGAGCTGCTCCGAAAAGAAACTGGTAAGAAATTCAATCCCAAAAGAACCTAATTAATTAGGGGAAGAGAAGGACGAAACGGGGTGAGGGGTTATCGCCTCTGTGGATTACAGTCGGTAAGCAGGTGTCATTACCAACCTTCCAGACACCCCTCTTCTGAGGTTTTACTGGTGGCGCCTGTGTCACCGTCCAGTCTCCAGCTGTCGTAGATTTCAGGGATATAGAATCAGGCAATTAGAGGCTGGTGTGAATTTGAGAACATAATGTTTCAGGCTTTTTGGAAACACATTTGTTACAGTAATCGAGGTGACATTCATCTTAAAACAATGCTGGGCATCCAGGTGTCGTGGGTGGTGTTCTTATCAGCTGGGAGACCTAACTCCCCAATTCGGGGTGACGAGTCCCGGATTTTCGGTGAGGTTATACAGTTAGTTTGCAGTTTTGTTCAAATGGCTTCTTTCTCCCGAAGAAGTGATTGACTTTTCTCTCAACCTTTAGGAATGTGGTTGTCACTTAGCAGGCTTCAACTGGTGAACATGCCTCCTAAACCCCAATCCAGTGTTCTCTTAGCTTACATAAGATGGTTCCGGATAGGCAGACTAGCTGCAGGTGCCCATGCCTGAGATTCATTTGTTTGCACCGACTCAGCCCAGTGGTGCTAAAGTGTGTGTGTGTGTGTGTGTGTGTGTGTGTGTGTGTGTGTGTGTGTGTGTGTGAAGCAGGCTCTGCCACAGCAGCACTCCCAGCCTCTTTTCCGAGCTTTGGTTTTCGATTTTGTGATTTTGATGTGGCAGAGTGCTGACTTGGGGATGTCCCTTTGCAAGCAAAGTGCAGGTGTGTGTGTTCTGTGCATGTCCGAGGACACAGCTTTCCATTTAGAAGCTGCTTTAAGGCTGGTCCACTTGGAGACTGCGGAGTTGGTGTTGAGGTGTTGAGAATCATGTCTTCCAGTGTACCGTAGATGGGAATGCCAGGGCAAACCATCCTGGGAATGCTGGGACAAAGCTGGGTGGTGGGGCTCTCTTCTCTCCTGCCTGAGGATCTGGGCTCAACCCTTTGAATCTCAGAAGAACAACAAAATGCCTGGCATTGTGGCATACAGCTAAAAACCAAGCACTGAGGCAGGGGAATTGGGGACTTTGTCTCAATAAAACAAAAATGAAACCCAAGCGAAGAGCTAGAGGATCAAGGATGAGAGAAACACTCGGTTAGTTGGAATTTTGCCCTAGCAGTGATAGTTTAAATGTCTTTTTTGTTTTTGTTTTGTTGGGTTTTGGGGGGGGTTCGAGACAGGGTTTCTCTGTGGCTTTAGAACCTGTCTTGGAACTAGCTCTGGTCTCAAACTCACAGAGATCCTCCTGCCTCTGCCTTGCTTCTTTTTTTTTATGTTGGAAGCTACTTATTGCTAATGGCAGGTGACTCGTTTAACCCTGGAAGGTTACTGTTTACAATGGCCTTCTTTATGACATTTTCATCCATACATGTTAGTTTATTCATACTTGTTAGTTCATATATGTTTGCTGTTGCATGACTGGGCTAGGACTGACTCAGTGGTAGAGCCTGAAAGGTTCCAACAGGGTTTGACTCCCGGTACCATGCAAGAAACTAGGGGAATTAAAAGTCCCCAAAACCCGATGCCTGGGGTTATAAAGCCTGCACTCAGAGTGCAGGGAAGAAAAGAAAAACCAGACACGATGATGCGTGCAAGGCTCTCTGCGCTAAGCGCTTTTGCTATCTAGTATTTAAAAGGTTATTTTATATGCATTGGTGTTTTGCCTGGCTGTGTGTCTGCGTGAGGCTGTTGGCTCCTCTGTATCTGGAGTTAACAGACAGTTGTGAGCTGCTGTGTAGGTGCTGGGAATTGAACCCTCGTCCCCTGGAAGAGCAGTCAGTGCTCTTAACCGCCGAGCCATCTCTTTCAGCCCACATATTTATTTTTTTTGAAATAGGGCTTCTCTCAAACTCTCTCCTTCCCAGCTTCTGAAGCAGCTGCCACCTCCTGACTCACTGCCGGCCGTTGACCCTGTACATGAGGTCAGGGTCCTAATCAAGAGGGAGCGGGAATTGAAGGGAAAGAGAATGCAGGTTCAATCTTCCTCTCTATACTTCCTCGACATCCTGCTTTTGAGCCGAACATTTCTTAGGTTTTTGTTGTTGTTTTGATCTTGGGTTTCCAGGGTCTAATTGCATAATAAACAACGTAACTTAAAACACCTATGTGAAATGGTAGCACACTGTTATTCAGGGGCGACACAATATTACAACAAAGTATTATAATAAAATAATTATATTAAACCTAATATTTAGGCATCTGGGATTGTTTATTTATTCATTTTTATTTTTTTTGAAACAGGGTTTCTCTGTGTAGCTCTCTCTGTCCTGGTACTTGTTCTATAGACTGGATTGGCCTAGAACTCAGATCCCCCTGTCTCAGCATCTCAAGTGCTGGGTTTAAAGGTGTGCTCCACAGCTCGGTGACAATGTTTTATTAACAGATTATCTGCTTATTCCTAACAGCCTCTCCTTGTCCTTCCCCTGTGGACCTGCCTCTTCAGGACAGCCCTGATTCTTCTACTAGTCCCAAGCTAAAGCTTCCCGGTCCTGAGTCTGCAGAGGGCACTGAGAAGAAGAGAGAGGACAAGGTCCATGGGAAGAAGCAGAAAATGCGAACTGTGTTCTCTGACACACAGCTGTGTGCACTGAGAAACAGATTTCAGAGGCAAAAGTACCTCAGCCTCCAGCAGATGCAAGAGCTCTCTGCGGGTCTGAACCTCAGCTATAAGCAGGTAGGGTTCTCTTGCTGCTGTAATACATAACAAAATGAGGTAGTTTGCCAATGAATAGAGTTAACATCTGGACACCTCTGGGGGTCTATCCTTTCTCATGCTAAACATCACACAACTATGTGTAGCCCATGTGATTCATATGTTGTCCACATTAGTCCTGTAACTTTATCTTTTTTTTTTCACTTTATCTTCTACTTATCCATACAACCCCCTCCCCAACTGACTCTCAAGTCAAGGTCTCACTATGTAGCCCTGACTGGTCTAGAACTTAATATGTAGATCAAACGGGCTGTATACTCACTTTTCTGCCTGCCTTTGCCTTAGACTGTCTGGTACTCAGATTAAAGCTGTTCTCACCACACCCAGCATTTTATTTTATTTGGAACCAGGCATGATGGCAAATCTCAGCATTTGTGGGAGAATAAGGAGTTCAATCTGTCTATACAGAGTTCAGGACCACCTGGGGCTACATGAAATGTTGATTTACAAAAACAAAGTGCTCTCTTCAGCATCACATGTACTAAAATTGGGACAATATAGAGAAGATCACGCTAGATTCTGAGTAAGGGTGACACAATCTGGAGAGATGCATATTTGAGAGAGACGAGGTTTCTGGGTGGTGGTGGCACACACCTTCGATCCCAGCACTTGGGAAGCAGAGGCAGGCGGATCTCTGAGTTTGAGGCCAGCCTGGTCTACAGAGTGAAGTCCAGGACGGCCAGGACTATTTCATAGAGAAACCCTGCCTGTAGAGGCGCACATAATAAAAAAGCCACGAGGTGGTGGTGCACGCCTTTAAACCCAGCACTCAGGGAGGCAGACACAGGTGGCTCTAACACAGAAAAATAGGGTTCATGTAGATACCATGTAGTATCTAGTACTATTCCCTCCTCCGTCCCCCTCAAAAAAGGAAAAAAAAATGTTTGTTTGTTTTTCGAGACAGGGTTTTTCTGTATTGCTTTTGGAGGCTGTCCTGGAACTCCCTTTGTAAACCAGGCTGGCTTAGAACTCACAGAGATCCGCCTGCCTCTATTTGCCGATTGCTGGGATTAAAGGCTTGCACCACCAACTCCAGCCTCTGTATGTCTGAGTATTGAGTGTATGCAGTGCTCTTAGGAAGCCAGAAGAGGGCATCAGGTCCCTTGGGCCTGGAGTTACAGGCAGTTGTGAGTCACCATGTGGGTGCTGGGAATTGAACGTGCATCCTCTGGCTACATGTCTTTTTTTGTTTGTTTGTTTTTCAATACGGGGTTTCTCTGTGGCTGTCCTGGAACTTGCTCTTGTAGACCAGGCTTGTCTCGAACTCAGAGATCCGCCTGCCTCAGCCTCCGAGTACTGGGACTAAAGGCATGTGCCACCACCGCCCTGCTTTGTCTACATGTCTTTTTTTTTTTTTTTTTTTTTTTTTTTTTTTTGGTTTTTCGAGACAGGGTTTCTCTGTGGCTTTGGAGGCTGTCCTGGAACTCACTCTGTAGACCAGGCTGGCCTCGAACTCACAGAGATCCGCCTGCCTCTGCCTCCCGAGTGCTGGGATTAAAGGCGTGCACCACCAACGCCCGGCTTGTCTACATGTCTTAATGTTTAAAAAGTCCTGTCACTCTCTGCAGGTTAAGACCTGGTTTCAGAACCAAAGAATGAAATGTAAGCGATGGCAGAAAAGCCAATGGCCTAAGACAAACACCGGTGTGACTCAGGTAAAGGGACACTTTACAGACTTTCCCTTTTTTCCGCCATCTTACTTCACATGTCTGCACCATCTCTTTGTGGCCAACCCTGGGTTTCGGGAGCTGGAAATGGAGCCCGAGTTCCCCGGATGAGTAGTCAGGGGTTCTGAGCCGCTGCGTCCGTCTGGGTTCCATCAGTTCCGCTACCTCCCTCTCTCCCCCCTCCTTACTCTCCCCCCCCCTCAAGTACTCTTTTCTTGTGATTTTTTTTTAAAGATTTATTTATTTATTTAGTATGAATACAGTGTTCTGCCTGCGTGTGTCCCTACAGGCCAGAAGGGGGCACCAGATCTCATTACAGATGGTCATGAGCCACCATGTGGTTGCTGGGAATTGAACTCAGGTCCTCTGGAAGAGCAGGCAGTGCTCTTAACCCCTGAGCCATCTCTCCAGACCCTCTTGTGATCTTTTCTAATTTTTGAGATAGTATCTCCTGTACTCAGGATCCTCCTGCCTGTGCCCGGAGTGCTGGGAATAGGGAGGCATGTGCCTCCATGGTGATCTTTTCCCTATTTCTTCAGCTTTGGACTTCCTTTTTTACTCATTGAGTTAACCACCTCTTTCAGAAGGGCTCTGCATTTGTGGAGTATTCCAGCCTCCATTCCGGCTATCCACAGGGCTTTCTGAACACATCTGAAAGCCTTCCAATGTGGGGTAGCCAGACTTGGAGCAACCAGACTTGGACCCACCCAACGTGGAGCAAGCAGGCTTGGAGCAACGAGACCTGGACTAACCCAACTTGGAGCAACCAGGCATGGACCAATCCAACTTGGAGCAACCAGCCCTGGTGTCCTCAAGCCTACAATAGTCAGGCTTGGAACACTCCCTTTGCGGAGGATTCTCTGCAGCCTTACATGCAGTGCCCCCAGAACCTCCTTGCCAGTGATGTGGAGGCGAGTTTGGAAGCTGCTGGGGAAGGCCATGCATGTTTTAGCACCCCACAAGGCTTGGAATTACTCCTGAACTACTCTGCGAATTTGCCAGGGGAGATGTGAGGAGTAGACAACCCCAGTTTAAAGTCAGGGCAGTGGCTGGATTTCTTCCATCTTTCAAAGATTTTTGGTTTTCCAAGACAGGATTTCTCTGTGCGTCCTTGGCTATCCTGGAACTTACTCTGAAGAGCTCTCTGCCACCACACCATACTTCTTTCAAAGAGTTTTATATTTTTATTCTTTTGGTGCCAGAGAGCAAATCTAGGACCTTTTCAAGACAGGGTTTCTCTGTGTAGCTTTGTAGTCCAGGCTGGCCTGGAACTCACAGATCTGCCTGCCTCTGCCTCCTGAGTGTTGGGATTTGTGCTGGAGATTAATCTAAGGGCTTTGAAGACACTGAACTATACCCTCCCCTCCTCCATATACTCACACACATTTACGGACAACAATCCTGGCTTGCCTTTTCCTTAGGAGCTTGGATTTTTTTTTTTTTTTTTTTTTTTTTTTTTTGGTTTTTCGAGACAGGGTTTCTCTGTGCCTTTGGAGGGTGTCCTGGAACTCACTTGGTAGTCCAGGCTGGTCTCGAACTCACAGAGATCCGCCTGCCTCTGCCTCCCAAGTGCTGGGATTAAAGGTGTGCGCCACCAATGCCCGGCTAGGAGCTTGGATCTTGGTATACATGGTGTGTCAATTTGAAGTATGGGCTTCAACTGGAGTCTAATGAAGGAGGTTTGAATACTCTGTTATACAAATATGGTGGCAACAGCTATGGATCCTGTATGTTTGGGTATCTTTAGGATCATAATCTCAAGTGTGAAAAAGGATAAAGATTGGTTCATATGTTCATTCTAGAGGACGAGGGAAAAGGCTCACGAGTTTGAGGCTAGTCCAGAACACTGTAAGTCAAGACTAGCCTAGACTAGGTAAATCGTAAGTTGATGACTCAACAAAATAAAACTAAAGCTTTGATTGAAGGAGGACTTCCATTTTGGCAATTAGGAGACTTTACCTGTTAACACCATGATTACTGCTAGGTTAATATCTATGGAAAGATTTTATATTTGTACCATGATAAGCCAATACCTATTTGACTAGTTTAAGTAAAATAAAACACCAACTTTACCTTTAGTGGTCTCGTCTGTGTTGTTTTCACCTAATGGGGTCAATATACTTTTGTTGGTATGAGGCAGGGTGTCATAACCTAGGCTGGCCTGAAATCTACTGCGTTGCCAAAACTTGAGGCTAAATGGGAGAACCAAAAGTTCAAGGCCAACCAGAACCGCATGGGGTTTTGTTTAAAAGAAGCAAGAAACCTAGCATGTGACATGGTGCCCATGAGTGGATTAAGTGAGGCCGACCAAGGCTACATCCTGTCACAAAAGGCCGCAGCACTGGTGAGATGACCCGAAATGGAACCCTTGTCGCCAAGTCTGACGGTCCTCATTCCACCCCTGGAACCCATGCGCTGTAAGGAGAGTCGATTCTTGTGGACTGTCCTCTGCTCTCACCTATGGATACTGAAGTGTGTGCACACCACACATGCACAAACACCAAATAGATGTAGACCAGCCAAACCAACTGCTAGGGAAGACACAAGGTTAGCCAGTGGAATTTTGCCCAGAAGTTATTATCAAACCTGTGGCTGATTACTCTTTGAAATTCTACCCTGGCAGGAAGTGCCACGCTGAAATAGCTTTTTTGTTTTTGTTTTTTCAAGACAGGGTTTCTCTTTGGCTTTGGAGGCTGTCCTGGAACTAGCTCTTGTAGACCAGGCTGGTCTGGAACTCACAGAGATCCGCCTGCCTCTGCCTCCCGAGTGCTGGGATTTTAAAGGCGTGCGCCACCAACGCCCGGCCATTACTTTTATTCTTATGAAGACAGTTAAATACAGACAAGTCTTTCCCTTTCCTAAAAGGTATCAAGTGAAATGAATATTTTTACGTGTATGAAAGTTTTAATATAGAGAAACCCTGTCTTGAAAAAACAAAAAAAAGGGAAAGGAAAGTTTTGCCTGTATGTAGTTTGTATGTACATCCCCACATGCCTGGTGTCTGTGAGATGGATCTAGAGTTGGGAATGGTTGTAGACACTGGGAACAGAAGCTGGATCCTCTACAATATATTCCTGACCACCGAAAAATCTCTCCAGCCCCAGGAATTGGGGGAGGGGTACAGTTTGAGTGATTGTACCACAGTGGTTGGAATGGCATGGACTTTGGAGCAGGAGGCCAGTGGTCATGTTGCATCCATAGTCAGGAATTGGGGCGCAAAGAATAAGAAATGAGCCAGGAGGTGGTGGCGCACACCTTTATTTAATTCCAGCACTTGGGAGGTGGAGGCAGGTGGATCTCTGTGAGTTCGAGGCCAGCCTGGTCTACAAAGTGAGTTCGTGATAGTCAAGGCTACACAGAGAAACCCTGTCTTAAAAAACGACACAAAAAAAGAAATGAATGTTTCAAAAAGATGTTTTCTTTTCTTAATCACAGGTATGTGTGTAGTTATGTGCTCCGAGGAGGCCAGAGGAATTAGGTAGATCCCCTGGAGATGAAGTTACAGGAGGTTGTGAGGCAACTGACACGCTCCAGTCCTCTGAGTCAGGAATGATAGTCTTTCATTCCTATCAACTAGGAATTGTTGAGGGAACCCCTGGCCACACACCCAACACTTCAGTGAGAGTCACAGGAACCACAGAGTCTCCACATTGCTTGTTTTGTGTAAACTGGGGATTAAACCTGGGCTTCCTGACTCTAGGCCAAGGCTCTTCCCTGAGCTTTACCCCCTACCTGCTTGTGGGATGTCAAGTGTTATTACAGGTAAAGAGACTGAGGGAATGTGTGGTTTCAGAAGTGAGTTTGGGGTGTAAGGGCGAGCTTGCGGGAGGAGAATAACCAAAAAAAGATACTGAAAAGACAGAAGATAAGTTCAGCTGGTGTAGTTGTGTGTAAACATTCAGTTTTGCTGTGAGCTAAGAAGGAATTTAGTTATAGATGGCCTAGTCATTGGTCAGTCTTAACAGATTTAGCTAAAACATGGCACAGAAAAATATAGAAGAAGCAAGAGACACCAGAAGTAAATAGCCTTGCCTGTCAGTCATGACCACTCACCAGGGTGCCCAGGACACCCCAGAGCACTGCAAGTAGGTTCCATAGCTGTTACTCAGCTAAGGAGAGGCCTGTCTGGGCAATCAGAAACACTGGGGCTGGAGAGATGATGGCTCAGCGGTTAAGAGCACCTGGTGGTCTTCCCAGAGGTCCTGAGTTCAATTCCAGCACCCATGTTGTCTGATGCTCTGTTCTGTCACATAGTAAATAGAGCACTCATACACATAAATAACTAAATGTAAAAAAGAAGAGATATTGTCCCTCATTGTGCCACAGTTCATAAAGGCTAGGGCATACCCTACAAAGCCCAGACTAATTACAGCTAAGATTCTCACCCTTCATTCTCTGTCCTTGTATTTAGTTCTTGTGACCATCAGTGGAGATGGCTGGTGTCTCAGAGAGATGGGCCATTGCCATCTCCACAAACCCTAACCACCCTCATGCAGGCTTCCAGTCTTTCCAGTTAGTTGACTTAATGGGATTCTAGCGTGTGTGTGTGTGTGTGTGTGTGTGTGTGTGTGTGTGTGTGTGTGTGTGTGTGTGTTTGTGGGGATCAAGTCCAAGGTTCTACCATTGATCTACACTCTCAGGCCTTGATGCTAAAATCTTAATTACCTTAGGTTCTCCCTTTTTCAGGGTGAGGAGATTACACCTACCACCAGGAGGGGGAATGTTTTAGAGGCCTCCCCAGCTGCAGCTTTCCTTGCTTCCCTTTTTGCTTCAGCTTCTCACCAAGGGACCTATTCAAATGCCTTAGTCAACTGATTCCTGAGTCCCAAGCTGTCATGGGACCCCCAGCTGACTTCTTTATTTAACAAATTCTCGTTTTCTCCTGCTTGGGCCCCTCTCCCTCCTCTGTCTGGCAGCTGTCTGCCTTCTCTTTGTAGTTCGACACCAGGACCTGTTTTCTCCCCTGTATCCCTGGGTTTTCTGAAGACTCGGGGTTTATTCACAGCAGAATTAATCTTCTTTTTCCTTTACCCTAAGAAGTCAGCTCTTGGGAGTCACTGACCAAGCAAGGCCTGTGCTTCTGAGCTTGGAGTCTACTGTCTGGTTCTGAAGACTCAGGCGAATTCAGTCCAGCATGCTTGCTCCCACAGGTTCAAAAGGAGACGACAAAGCTGGAAAATCGAAGAGCATTGAAGTTTTACATACACTGGAGGTCACACCCCCTTCACTTGGGGGAGAGATGGAGAAAGCAAGCTTTTGGTTTTTTTCTTCCTTTTCCTTTCTTTTCCTTCCCTCCTTCCTTCTTTCTTTCCTCTTCCCTCCCCCAGACAGGGTTTCCCTGGAGCTCTGGAGGGTGTCCTGAAACTCTGTAGACCAGGCTCCCAAGTGCTGGGGCTGAAGGCGTGGACCACTGCAGGAGTTTCTAAGGAGAGAAGGGTGGCGGAAGACAGGCTGGACCGTGAACTAGTTTTCACTCTCATAGCATGTTAACTTGTACTCTCCGTGAGCCTAAGGCCAAAAAGAAGTGTGTGTGTGTGGGGGGGGGGGGAATCCTTAACTTAAATTCACAGCTTCCTAATTTTGGGGCGACCTTTTCAAGCTTTTAAGGAGGCTTATTATACACAGTGAATTAAAACTAAAATTAGACTGTTTAGGGGCTGCTCTTCCAGATGACCGAGTTCGGTTCCCAGCACCAGGGCAGGTGGCTTCTCAACTGCTAGTAACTCCAGCTCCAGGGGATGCCCTACCTCTCACTTGCTTAGACGCCTGCAGGCATGTACAAGCACTCCAGAGTGCTCGTGCACGCGCGCGCGCGCGCACACACACACACACACACACACACACACACACACCCTTGATTGCTAAGTAAAATGAATCTAAGAAAACTGCCCACAAAAAGAAGAAGAAAGTTAGTAAAGCTAGATCAGGGCGTTCAGCGTCTGTCTTTGCAGCTCACTAGCTGCTCCCGTTCTCCTAGTAAACTGTCTCTGTCTGTCACTAAAGGAGTGGGCAA